ATTCAGAATCTTCCACGACATTCCCTTAGCAAGGATAGACGACCCTTACATTTACATATTACACATTCCATCCCAGTCCCAAAAGTCTTAGCTTGTTGCAGCACCAATTCAAAAGTCCAAAGTCTCCTCTGAGACCAAAAGCAAAGCTCCTTACAGCCATGAACCTGTAAAGAGTCAAAAACAAGTATATCTACTTCCAAGATACAGTGGAACAGACATTGGGTTCACATTTCCATTCCAGAAGGAAGGAATAGAAAGGGAAAACGGTCCCCAAACAAATCTGAAACCCAAACAGGGCAAACGTTAAGCACACTGGGGCACCTGGACCCCTAAAGCATTGGGCAACCTCACTCCTGCAGCTCCACCACTGAGCTGCCCTGGTGCCTGTGGCTTTTCCAGGCTGGCAGTGCGTGATACCAGCAGCCCCACCATCCTGACTCCACTAGACATTTCCTCAGTGGGGGCTTTGACCCCAGTTTTCTGCTCTACATTGCTTCATAGATGACCTCTGTAGCAGCTCCACCCCTGCAGCAGGTCTCCGCCTGTGTCCCCCAGCATTTCTTTACATCTTCCGAAATCTAGGTGGAGGCTGCCACACCTCCACTGCTCTCACATACTGCTGGCCTGCAAACTTAACACAATGTAAACGCCACCAAGGTTTTTAGCTTTTGCTCTTCTGAGGTGCTGAGGCACATTTGCTCCAGCCAGAGGGGCTGGGATGCAAAGAGCAGTTTGCTGAGGGTAGCTGTGCCCCAGGTCTGTCCTCCAGGACAACTCAGTTCTCCTAGGCCTCAGGGTCTGTGATGGGTGGGGTACCCATCTAGACTTCTCAGATGCCTTTAGGGCATTTTCTCCATTGTTCTGTTTTTTAGCATCTGGCTGCCTCACTGCCAAGATAATCTCTTTAGCAAACAGTTTATCTGCTTCACCCTTGCGTTTTTCTCCTGCTTTCTGCTTCTCTACCACATGGCCAGGCTGCAAATTTTCCAAATCTTTATGCTGTGCTTCCCTTTTACATTCTGGCTTTTGAATTACTTCAGTCAGCTCAGCTTACACCGGCTAGTCACTCAGTCTCAGGCAGTTCAGCTGCATTTGCCCAGTCCATCAAGGAGTGGCTGCCTTGCCCCTGTGCATATCTGCAGCTCTCCTGTAACCGCTGCCACCAAGACAGGTGTGTAGTAATGGAGACTAACTTTTTCCACCTTTTCACCAGGTGAAAACATACTTGAAGTTCTGCAGGGGCACCCATCCTCGAGTCATCTGCCCATCTGCATGTGGCACTCTTTTCTGAGGTTTATACTGCACCTGGCTGGCAATTGGGTTTAAGTGGCACCCTCTGAGCCTTTTGCCTTCAGACAAATGCAACATGCATTTACTACAGCATCTCCAAAGCAAGTTACACCATCCACCCCCAGTTCCCATAGCTGTAGCAGCCAGGGTCTCTCCTTGTTTCTGCTGCTTTACTGTCTCAATTTCTCATGCACAGCAGGTCATGCCTGGAGATGCATGGTTTCCCCCAACTCACCACTGGGTTAGTTGTCTTCCCTGGCATGATAGGCAAGAGTGGTCAGTCACTGCATGTAGTCCTCCAGGACATTTATCCATGCTTTCAACAACTCTGCTTTCTGCTACAAATCTTGATCAGTTTGCAGCGTAGTGAGCGGCAGCCAGGCTCCGGTCAGCAGAAAAGTGGCCACCAGGTACCACATGCTCAGGGATAGCCACATTTCTTCCCCTCCCAAAGGGTTTTCTGCCATAGCGCCTGGTCTATGCTGCCTTGCAATACAGTGTGCAGCAACCAGATCCTGGTCAATGGGAAGGTGGCCATAGGGCAGAGCATATTTAAAAGTAGCCACATTTCCTCCTCCTTCCATGGGCTTTGGCTCCTGTACCTGCTCAGAATTCTGTCATAGACTATGCCAGTTGTGGTGCTCGGGCTAGGCTAATGTTGAAATCCTGCCAGCATCACCAGTTGGAGTTCTCTGGCTCTGTCGGAACCCTGTTCGTGACACTGCCAACTGTAAACCTACACAACTATGTCAGTTGTCGGGCTCTTTTTATGTGCCAGTAATCCTACACCGACTGGGCTTATTGTCGAGCTAGGGCTGGGTCTGTAGCTCACAGGCCCCTCAAGCCCATTCACAGACTGGGTCACCAGCCCCCTCACATGCCAGGCTGGGTCACCAGACCCATTACATGCAGGTCTATGAGCTAGGTAACCAGCAAACAGGTCCTTGGAAGCTGTAGATTGGAAAGCATGGCCGGGTGTGGTGGACACCCTAGGCAGACACCCACCTGCCTGCTTCACTAAAACTCTGAAGAACACAAGAATAGCAACAAAGCTAAAAAGATACATTGGCGTGCATGTGCACTAACTCCACACATGATTTGCTTACAAAGGATGTACTGGATCACGCCCAACTGGACCCGAGGCGAGGGTCCTGACTAAACCATTCTATTTTCCCAACAGAGAGGAACACCAATTAAGATGAAAAGATGAAATAATAATTATCAAGAGTGGAACATTAAGGGTACTCAGAATCTCTTCACAAGAGGAGAACGGTTTTGACAGGCACAGTGTTGAAAGACTTGGATGGGTGTGTGCACATGCAGGATAATTTAGAAGGCAGGACTGGCAGCAGGAAATGGCTAGTCTTGCAGAGCTGAGAAATATAAATAGCAGGGAGAAGGTCGACAGGTTGAGACGCACCAGGATGCTTAAGTTACAGGAAGACTTGATTAGGGTGTACACAAGAGTAAGGACTGCTGGGTCATGGTCTGTTTTCCATCTGGAAAGATTGTATGGAAGTCATGCGCTAATTGAAAACGTGCAGTCTGAGATTTGCATGTGTAATGATTTTTTGTTGTTGTTTATGTGGTTTGTAGAGAAAGAGAATTTAGGTTGATTATTTCAAGGCTTTTGAGTGTAAGCTGCTCTTTGTCTTTATTGTCCAGGAGAATGAGAAGGAGATCTTGGTGCAAAAATATGAAATGGGTTGGTAAGAGGCGAAGAACTAATGAAACACTAAATCAATGATAAATGGTAAAATCCTATTTGGATTTGGTGTCCTTAGGTTATGTATATATGCATATGCATACACATATATACTATATAGTATGCATATATATCATTTCAGGTGTGGAGAAGGGTGATTGAAGAAACGGGATTTTAGGATTTGAAAAATATTAAAGTAATACTGTGCCTTTTATTATTTATGCCTTTAAAAAAATGTTTCAAACATACAAAACCATAGAAAACAATACAATAGCCATTAATGTACAGCATTGTAATTTAGTGATAGTTAATGTTTTACATTTTTGTCTCATGTCTTCTTTTTGTTAAGGAATTTTTTTTTTTGAGGTATAAATATTCATACATGTAGTACTAGTGAATGGGATGCTGAAGCCAGTGAGTACCAGAAAGTTGTTAAGTTTTCAGGAATTTTGAGAGCCAAATGATATCACAATGATGATTTGAAAGTGGCTGTAGTGGGAGTATTTACACCACAGAAATTGACAAATGCTACAAATCAGCATTTTTTGGTTGAAAACCTAATTGTTCCATATTTTACCAGCACACTGCTGGTCATAGTTTGCTTAGTTTAACAGCTACCTTGTATTTTATTGAATGAATAACACTCAGTTTACTTGTTCACTGCTCAGATATATTTGAATCTTTCCCACATTTATCTATTACAAACAATGCTGAGTTCAGCGTTTTTGTAGATATCTCCTTGACCACATATGCAAGTGTAGTTCATTCGTGAAAACCCAGAAGTGGAATTGCTGGGTCCTGAAGATTGTGTGTCCTCAACTTTACTAGATAGTAACATAAATTTCTAAAATCACTATAACAGTTTATACTTCCACTAGTTTAATAATTTTTGTTTCTTATATCTAGTCATATGTAATGATAGTTCAAGGAGTATTAAAGGATACCAGGGACACATCATTTCTCCAACAAGAGATGAGGCTGAAGATCATGATTCATTCTCTCTTAATGTTGTGGCTTTTCTTTTCCATTTGTGCTTTCTTTGACATATCGAAGTTTTATAATTTAGGTTGACCATCTCCTATCATTTTTATTAGACATATGCATTTTCTCTTTTTATAGCCTGTCCAGTTGTCCATTGGCTTGTTAATTTTTTTTTTCTTATTGAATTGTAGAAGATCTTCATGTATCCTGGCTATTTATTTTTGAGTTATTTCCTTGAGAAATATATCACAGTTCATATCCTGTTTTTCACTTTATTTATGATGTCTTTCAACATATAGAATTTATACATTTTATTATAGTTCTATTTTTCAGTCATTCCCTTTATAGTTTACACTTATTAGTCTTGTGTGAGATACCCTGATATCATAAATATGTTTTTCAATATTTCATTTTGAAAGTTGACAGTTATGCTTTTTAACATTTAGGCTCTTTTGATTACTTATTTAAAGTATATAAATTGGCTGTCATTAATGCCAAAGAGATAGAAATTTGCAAAGAATACGATTTTGTTTTGACTATGAATTATTCATCAGTTACTTGTATTTTATTGTCTTTCTGTGGCAAGCACAAGCTACCTGTTTGTATTACAGAGATGCATAAGGCATGGTCTCAGTCTCTTGGTGGGGACACATGTATTACAGCACATGCAGTATAATGTAAGGGCTAAAAGAAGCTTGTACATATGCTCTGGGAGAACATGGGAAATGAATCATTTGCATGAAGCTATTAACTCTCCTGTTAACTCATATACTCTGGTATAATAGCATTTTTATGGAAATCTGAGATTACTACTGTAGTGGCAGCCCTACATCCTTTAAAAGGATACCAGTATTGCAACTTTTTTCTGATGAGATGACAATGGTAAAAATTTGTGGGTCTTCATAGATGTTTTCCTCCTAATTTAGCAACAAGAATAACTTATCACAGATATTACTTGCTAAGATGATTTAGATTTAGGGAAAGGTTAAGAACTTGTTTTTAAAAAATTGGTTTTTATTTGCAGAGACGAAATGGAGAAGATATACCAGTCGCTCAGACTAAGAACATCAATCACAGAAGATTTGCTGCTTCCTTTAGATTGCAAGAAGTGACAAAAACTGACCAGGATTTGTATCGCTGCGTAACTCAGTCAGAACGAGGTTCTGGTGTGTCCAATTTTGCTCAACTTATTGTGAGAGGTAAAGTAAAATTGTTTTCACTTCATGAAATTGCACGCCTTTAATAGAAGAAAAGCAACTCTGTAGATATTTTGATTTTTAAACCACAGTGTTCTTGATCTAAAGTCACTGTAAAAACCATGTCATTGTAGAAGTTCTGATAATGTCTTACAGTAAAATGAAGACTAGTTGTAACGTTTGTCAATCAAGTTTCCAACAAGTGTTTTCCATCGGGAGGAATCAACGTTATAATGCTTTAGCAGGGCTAAATGTATAAAATACCTTCTTCCATATTGCCGTCATCTAGTTTTCATTTTAACTTTAGGTCTAGCTCTTCCTATTTAAAACAGTTGTGTGTTGTGTAGATACTACTTTTGTTCTTCCAAGCATTGTGGCAATGAGGTCAAGGTCAAAGCTCCTATCCCTATATTTTACCAGTATCAAAACCGAGTAGTAAATGTTCACTAATTCTGGCCCCCTATAGAATCTGAGAAAGCTAGAACTGCTAAGAGGTCCTCATTATTATTCTTGGATACTGAAGTTATTAGAGGAATGTAAAGGATTATGACATATCAGTACCGATCTGTAGCAAATTCAGGAAAACTGTGTATAAATACAGAACATATATTGCATTTTGTTCAAAATTTGCTGAGTTTCTGTTATATTCCAGGCAGTGTTCTAGGTTGTAGAGATACAGTTGTAAATAAAATACAAAGTCCCTGTCCACATGGAGCTTAACACTGAAGTATGTTAGGCAAAGTATTGAAAATTTAGTGTCAGATCTTGGAATGTGTTATGAACAAATATAAAGACAAAATGATGGAGATTGATATTTTAATTAAGATAATCTAAAAGGCCTCTTTAAGAAGTGACAGTTGAGCTGAAACCTGAAAAAAAAATGAGGACATCAGCCATGCGAAGATTTAGAGGAAAAGCTCTGTTGAGGAGGTTATCAAAGATCAGTCAATATTGACACAAAAGAAAAGAATTATAAACTGAGGCCCTAACAAAAATGTCAAAATTGGGCTGCGATTTGTCAGGGTATCAGAGAAGAAATTTTTGAGTGAAACATCTTTGAGGTAGGATCTGAAGGTTGAGAGAAAGTTGCCCAGGTGAGGGGTGTCGAAGTTGGGCAGGGTAAGAGACAGAAGTGCCAGCAGGCAGAGGTACATGCTAAAGCCCAGGGTCCGGAAAGAGAATATGAGATGCTTCCATATTCAAGTTGTTATATTTTGTAATGCTTGGCATCAGATGTCTTTTACATACATTATTTCAGGATTTGCTTGATTTTAGTACTTTAACGTTGAATAGTTTTAGAGAGATGGAAATTGAAATTCAAACTATTTGATAATTTGCTCTGAACTACAAAAAACTAATAATTAACTAAGCCAGACTATACCCCCATGTTTCTGACTCCTAATTGTGGTTCATTCCTTTCTGCCACAGATTTTTCACATTAACATTATTAAATAATGCTATTAGACTCTTGTATATGTTTGTCTTGGGAGACCCTATAGCTCATTAAAAAAAGGTTTATCTTTGTAGGTTGAATCAGAATCTGTTTTCAAGGAAATGTCTCTCATGCCTCTAGAGTCAGCTCATGTCACCTTTACAAGTTCATGAGATCACAGCCCCAATTTATTGAAAAATGAGAAAATATGGTAGTATTTGACTCCAGTTTCCAAGCAGAGAATTTGTTACATGTTTGTACATGTGTGTATATTCATCTTTGTTGATTCCCGTTCCAGCATCTTTCTCACCTGAGCCTAATTTTGAGAGCCTGAAGGTGTTCTTGGGTAATCTTCAGAGTGATTAACATGCTATGGATACAGGAATGTGAGGGTGCTCTACAGTCATTGGGCTCACTGTGTCTTCATCGTTGTATGTTGTAGTGGATTGAACTATGCCCCCACAGAACACTGAAGCTTGAATTGTGTCCCCCAAGTTTTATATATTAGGAACTTGGCCCCCACTGTAACTGTTAGGAGGGCGGAAAATCCTGTTTTGGTGATTGAAGGGTAGAGCCGTGAAGAGGCGATTGGATTGTGGGACTATGCTGTAGTGAATGGATTAAAAATGATGGTCAGGGGTGTGGTTCTGAGGGCTTTGGAAAGGAGAGAGAGGACAGTCTCTCTTGCTGTCTCTTCTCTCTCTGCTTCCACCATCTTTCAATGTGAGAATCCGGGGTCACTGTCGCCACCATCAGATGGACTTTGGAATTCCCAGCCTCAGAAACTGTAAGCAATAAATTTTGTTTTCTTTATAAATCACCCAGTTCCAAGTATTTTTCTATAAGCAACAGAAACAGACTAATGCATATGTGCATTCACAATATGCAGCCACTCAAGGAGGTCATGTTTTAGTAGTGCTCCTAGAGTGCTTTTGAATATACCTTACAGTTCTATATATCTATAGCTTTACAAAGACGCTTCAAAAAGTTCATGGAATGATTCATATTATATTTTAATTCCATTTTTCCTTGATCCTTTTTATATACTCTTGTATAGTTATATATGCCCCCCCCCCTTTTTTTTGTCTTTTTTCGTGACCGGCAACGGATCGCAACCCTCAGTGTCACGCCCGTACCGGGCCGGGACTGGCAACGGGATCGCAACCCTCGGTGTCGCGCCCGCACCTCACCCAGCCAGTGAGCGGCCGGTCTGTATGTGGGATCTGAACCCTTGGCGGGAGCGCCGCCGCGCTTCCCAAGCGGCGCACTGTAGCAGTGCGCCACCGGGCCGGCCCTATGCCCCCTTTTTTTTGAGGAAGTAAACCTGTAATATATTTGTTGGACAGATTGTAGAAGACAGTGGTGATGCTTTTATGCAGGTGTTCTCTTTACACATATAGTTCCTTTTTTTCCTGCAGACATTTTCTGCCTTTTTTTAAAAAAAAAAATAGAATTGCCATTACTAGATTTTAATAGTTTATCTCAGTTGGTAAGTAAATTTTATTTTTTTATTAAAGCCTATTTTTCAGGGTCAACTACATATAGCTGTTCTAGGATTGTTACATGTGAAGTAATTATTTGAAAAAAATTTGTAAAAGGATCCTTAAATTTCATAGAAAACTTTGCTTCTTTTTTCAAAAACAAAGTCCTGCTTTTTAATATCTTTTGGTTTATATTTTATGTTGGAAAGTTTGAGTTAAAATATTTTTTTGCGGGCCGGCCCGGTGGCACACTGGATAGTGCGCCCGCTTGGGAAGCGCGGCAGCGCTCCCGTCCGAGGGTTCGGATCCCACGTACAGACCGGCTCCCGCTCACTGGCTGAGCGAGGCGCGGGAGCAATGCCGAGGCTTGCGATCCCGTCGCCGGTCCCCGGTCCGGTACGGGGGCAACACTGAGGGTTGCGATCCGTTGCCGGACACGGAAAAAAGACAAAAAAAATAAATAAATAAAATATTTTTTTGCTTTGAATGTGTTATCCAGAGTCTGCTAACATTTTAGAAATATATTTTCATAGGTTTGGCAGCTTTTTTTTTGTAACGTATTTTAAGTTGTTCTATATCTAACACTTGTAAGTGATACTTTGCTCACTGTTTTATTTGAAAACCAATACAGTAGAATAAGTTTTGTTTGTCCAGATAACCACCAAGTAAATATTGCTAACCAAGAACAGACCTTTGGGAGTCAGCTGTCTTGGTGTTTGATACTGTGCTGAGAATTAACTATAATGACAGGTCCTATCTCTCATTGGCACTTTTAAAGCTGACATCCTGTTACATAGATACAAAAGATGGTAATTTTAAAGGAAATTTTTGGGGCAGTGATATGAATAGTCTTTAATAAGAGCTGGCATAATATTGCCTGTTGTCAAAGATGACCCAAGGGTAAGAGTTTATTAGTGCATTTTCTCCTAAACCGAAAGTGACAGGGCATGCTTAAGGCTTTTTTGTTGCTGTTTGTTATAAATGAAAATCTCACTGTAGAAATCTCATACTGAAGAGTATTGATCTATGTGTTCCCACAGTCAGAGGAAGAAAAAAAGAGTATGGTGAAACAGAGTTTACTTTGTCATGATTTTAGCAGTGTTTCCAGATCATTTTGAGTAGTGATAATGTCTTCAGCTTGTGGAAGCCAATCTTTATTGACAAAGAAGTTTTTACAGAGATGAGATGAAGAGCAGACATTTTTGCTCAATGTTTCTGCAAAATTGAAGAGTAAAAAATGTGAAATACAGGTTGAAATGGTATTTACAAGCTTCAAGCTGAAAGCAGCAACTTCCTAGTCTAATTGTGTTGTAGATTGTTTTGTTTGTTCTCTACCTCATTTGCAATCTTCTTTTTTCATCCAAATCAGAGACCCTCTTACACCTCTAACAAACTGTCCCCCAATGAACTTATGTAAAATTCTGTGATCGCTACAATTGACACTCAGTATCTATTCCAAATTGTTTGTTATGATTTTATTTCTATCATTTTCACCTCTGAAACTATGATTGCATTTTAAGTTATTAAATTTGAAAAACAGCTTTCTGTCATTGTTAATGGTTTATTTTTTAAATTTCAGTGTCAAGTATTAGTCATTGTCACAATGCTCTGAACATAGAAAGTATTCAGTTAATATTTTTATCCATTCCTTATAACAGTGACCTCTAGCTGCAAATTATGGTGAATATCGATCCATTCATCCAGACTTAGAGTAAGATCCCAAACTTACTCAGAGTTGGTGTTTAAAATCATAAGAAATTCATATTGATGTCAATATTTCCCTTCATAAGACGATATAAACTAGCTTTAAAATAAGGGTATTTACTGACTTTTGTGACTGGAAAGTGCATAGATAGGCTTCAGGCTTGATTGGTCTAGTCATCAAGGATCCAGGTTTTTGCCAATTCTTCATTCTGCAGTCTGTGGTTTTGGCTTCTTTCCTAAGCCAGGCCCACCTCATAGTCATAGGATAAGAATATAGCTACATGTTCCCTTGGCCTCATCCAGTTGGGTATAAAAAGGGTACTACCTCTGCCAACTATCAAAAAAAAGTATGGCTGGATATTGGACAGACAACTAGTATATCCTGT